CGAAACGTGTATCCATGAAATCGTAAAAGTTGATTGGGACTTGGGAATATTAATATTGTTTATCACAATCGTATTAGATTTAGTTATATAACGTACCAGAGATTTATACAGTTCACCCATGAATACATCTTTCAGTACAATATTGGTCATGTTGTGCTGATCCATCAGCTATTTTGCTTGAATTTTCTAGCGGGTAAACTGTATCAGTCTGAAACTGATTTTGTTTTGATTCACATTTTAAGGAACCGACTTTAAAACCTTTTCAACGTAGAAAACGAAATTAAAACCAAGTTCGCTTTCATTTATATTTTGAAATATGATTGCAATATTATATTATTAAAATCATAATTATGTTCTTAATGGAACTGTTAATGATTTATAAGGCTGTATGGATTTGAACTGGGTTTTCTTTTTGGTTTTATCAATTTTAACCCGATAAAAATATAAAAACAACCAAAACCATCTTTTTTTTTGACAAGTTATATGAAAAAATAACGTACTTTAACTTGATTCCTATTTTGGGTAACGTATTTTCAGAACTTCCATTTTGGTACATAAGATGTAAAGTTTTAAACATTTAAGTACTCGAATAATCGGTTGAAGACTAATTTTAGATTAAAAAAAGACATGTTACTAACCACGTCAGCAAATAATACTGAGTTGGATACCACATCACTCGTCAGATCAACATGATAACCTGTTAATGCTTCAACCAGTTATCCGGGTACTTAAATGTTTAAAACTTTACATCTTATATACCAAAATGGAAGTTTTGAAACTACGTTACCCAAAATATGAATCAAGTTGAAATACGTTACTTTTTCATACAGTTTGTATTTTTTTTAATAAATGAATGAAAATTATTATGTGTGATATTGTTTGAATTTGAATAAGATTTGGCATGTTCTTGGAGAGATGATATTTAGGGATTTGATATGAAAAGAAGACAAAAAAGGAAATGTGTCCAAAAATATAAAACGAGAGAAAGCGTGGGGGTCCATGGATTGTTCATGCCCATCAAACCAACAACACCAAATGGGAACAAATATCCTTTCCCCATAAATAACCATCATAATATTCTTTTATATATATATATATATATATATATATATATATATATATATATATAGAGGAGTGATCATATGAAAACCGCTCTCATTTGTGTAAACCGT